CCCTGGGGGGGGGGCTCCCGCTAACGAGCCCGCAGTCAGCGCCGCCGCCGGGTCGCCGCTGAGGAGCTGTATCAGTCGTGTCAGCGTGTCAGAAGACTAATTGCCGTGTCAGCGTGTCAGACAACTTATTGCTGTGTCAGTAGTGTTTGCGTGTCAAACGAGCTATTGCCTTGTCAGTAGTGTCAGTGTGTCCGATGAGCTATTGCTGTGTCAGTGGTGTCAGCGTGTCAGAAGACCTATTACCGTGTCAGATCCATGACACGCGCCGAGACGGATACCGGCTCTCGGTCACCTCGGAGTCAGTCACCTCCCATAGTGCGCACTGGTCAATGGTCAGTGATAATGTAAACAGACGCGTTACGCACGACCGCGGGCCGGGCCGACCGCGGCACACAGTGACTGGCTGGTGAGAGATATACGTGTTATGGCAACACGTTCGGTGCAGCTGACCGAGCCAGAAGAGACCGATCCAGCGCCGACCGAGCCCGGACAGAACGGAGACGGCAGAACTGACGCAGACGGACTCGGGACGGTCTATGAAAAATTACTGAATTAGGGGATGTTGGTAAGTCGTCCTGTCGGCCGACCTTTTCCCAGTCTCCACCTAGCGCATCGCCAAGGGAGCAGTCCAGCCCAGAGAAGCCCCAGTCTGTCATACCGACAGGTAGCGTCACTAAGCTACTACGCCACACGCGTTACGTCAATACAAATACATATAACAGCCAAATACAAAAGAGGCCAGGGCGGACCCCATCCCCCAAAAAATGAATTAGCGGCTATAGGGAAACGGGAATTTGTCCATACGTAAATTCAGAAGAGGCCAACAATAAACTTGGGTAACAATACCACAAAAAAAAACTAAAAACGCAAGATGTTCCCTAAGAAGTCGAACACCACAATAGTCTTAGATTCCACCATTTCTTATCTCTTATCTTAGGCTCGTTCTGCTCCCCCGCTGACAATCCCCTGTCGTCTCCGTGGTCATCAGGCTCTCCACCAGGCAGCCCACTGACCGAAATCAGCCGCCCCCCCCCCCCCCCCCGCCCCCCCCCCCCTGTGCAGCTCCGATTCAAAGCAGCTCGGACCTCCATCCGATAATGCGGAGCGTAAATCATCCACTGAATAGTGTCCCGGACATTTGCGAGCCTGGATGTCATCACAGTCCGGCCGACGACTAAATGAATCTTGGTAACTTTTAGCAGAGGGCCAAAATCGATATCGATCCCGACTTCATTCGGCTGAATGAAATCTCATTACTCATTCCGACAACAAAGGCTGACATCGCGACGGTCGTTTCTTTGATCTGGCATTACATTCCGAGATACACATTTCCGGATTCCCAGTAAAACCACTGCACTGTAGCAGGAAGTAAACTGAAATGCAGTCATGCGAAGTAGCTCTCGAGTGACCATGTTAGCCTTACGTTGTAGCGTTTTGCACCGTCAGTGCCACTAGCAGCTCGGTTATACAACGCCCCTCTGACCCATAAGATTTCACGATGGCAGACGACGAAATGCCCCAGTAACCATCACATAGGTCCTGTGAGACAGCCCAACCGTCCTTAGATTCTTTGCGACATCCCAGACCGTCCAGAGAACCATCCCCAGGCTGTCCCATGGGTCCTTGGTGACTTGCCGGGCGGGCGGTGGCAGCCCATCCACGTATTCTCATCCATCACACGGAGGACCGGGCGGCGGGGCCAATTGAAGGTCGGAGGTTCAGCGGCGGCGACTGGCTTGACCCAGTATAGAGATAGCTACTCCTGGGTACACGGGTTCAGATAGCGACGACCCCATGGGCACACGTAGCTTTAACCCGCGCCCGGCTGGGGGTCCTGGATTTCCACGCCCTGCTGGGGGGGGGGGGGGTGTTTGAACACCCCCTCTTCTAACTCGGCTCCTGGGCCACGTAGCGATACGCGGAAGGCGGCGTTCGAAAGAGCGTAAAAAATAATGAGGAAATCACTTCGGTCGATTTTTTGGTCAGGTCAAAGGTCAGGTCACCAGAGGTCATTGACGGCAAAATTTCGCCGATTTCCAGGTCGAATGTCGACAATTTCCAAGAAGCCAACGCATAACTCGGGAACCAATAGAGCTACAGCGCCGCGGAAAAGTGCATTCGATAGTTCTATTAACGCCTTTTCTGAGTACTTTTCTCAGATTTGACCTAACGTCAACGGTTTTGCCTGCAGGGGGCAAAAACTGCAAAAATAGTCGATTTTTTCGGAAACAGTTTTTCTGCAATAACTTTTGACCCAAGCCTTGTACGAGCTTACTTTTACCGGCATCGTGTTCCTCTCGTCAAGACGCATCGAATGAACTATAATTTGACCTTGAAAGGTCAACTTGAAAATTTGACCTCAGGTCAAGGTCATGACCTGACCGGAAAGGGTCATGTTGCATATCAGTCGATCCGTATCGTCGAGCTGAACACATCTAAGGCATTTTCATCGCTCTAGCATCCCTCTATCAAAAGTTATTTCCGAAAAACTGTTAGATACCATTCGTGACCTAAGATAACCTCAGGGCATAAACAGGGGTCACGGACACCATTTTCATGTTCAGTGTGTCTAAACTACTTGTAATTCAGTGTTTGGGAGTGTTTATAATGTCTTTCGTCCAAAAGAGGCGCATTTCAATTTTCTCCCATTGACTTATAATGGGGAGGTCGCAAAATTGACCTGACCTTAGGTCATCGATATCAAAATTCTGAGATAAACATTTTGTACATGCTATTGCTCTTAGCAATCGCTGAAAGTTTCAAATCGATCAGTCACTCGGTGTAGCTATGACAGACATTGAAACTTTTATGAGGAGAGGTCACTTCAAGTGACCTGGTGACCTGACCTTGAATGACCTTGGTCTGAAATTTTCACAACATGTGTAGAATTGATGTATGATAAGGTGTACCAAAAACATCCGTGTTAAACTGATGTATTGTTAACCCCCAGCAGGGCGCGGGTTAACAATAGCTCGCAGTTAAAACACGTCGCAACCGTACGCACTATTCGGGTACACAGACTCATCGCTACTCGTATATCACCGGGATACAGTGAACAGACACTACCACACGGGTTTACCCAATCTCCATCTCAATTACAGCGTGCCAGCAGTGCAGGATGCCAGAATAATCGAACAGAAAGTCGTAGCGTCTCACCCCGAATGGCCCATGGCGCAGCCTAATAGGCCGGAAGAGTGGCCCAATGGCCCCACAATGTGCCAGTAAGGAAGCAGAAGTTCTGCGACCGTTCCGGGCAGGGGAGAGAAGAGGGGGCGGGGGAACAGAGGCCGACTCTCAGCCCCCTCCCCGACCTAGCCCCACCGCGTCGGTCCCACCCTGATCCGCTCCCCACTCCCACCCCCACCGGTCCCGGCGACCCCCACCTCGCCTCGATCGGACTGTCTGTACCCCGCAGCCGCCGCTCCCAGCCGCATAGCATTACCGCCTATTTACATAGCATTACGCTGCACTTCCAGCGCGGCGCAGGAAGTCCGCCGTCGTTTCCTGAGGCGAGCGACGGGCGAGTGGTAAACAACTCAACTGGAGGGGAGGGGAGGTCGGCACTCTGCCCGCAGGCACATTCTGCAACAGAGTAGACTGCTACTTCCAGCAGACTCCGAAAAAGGCAGACCGTCCCACCGGTGGACATCGAGCAAATTACTCGTAATAAAGACTGTTCCCACCGGCAGTTTTGGCGCCTAGAAAACTGTTCTGCCGTATAGCAATAGACAGACTTCCCCACGCCAGACTCCGTGGAAACGGCAGCGAATCCACAATAACAAGATGGGAAGAGACAGGTGGCAAACAAGCTGTCTAGCAGTAGCCTAGAGCCCGGGGATCAGTGCCTGGCTTAACACGGCACCCAACTTTTAAAATGAAGTCTTCACGGCCTTCACGGCTTTGCCCAAGTTTCTAACTTTACGCGCAAACAGAACAAGCGGGTGACTGAGCCGGCAGTCACCACTGCCCCAGCGCGGCAGCCTGCCGGCCGCACCTTCCTAGAGCCGCCGTACCGGATAGTGGCTGCTGTGAGTGGGTGGGACAGGAGGCCCTGACGGAAAACCAACGTCTGGAAATGGGCCGGGCGGTAGCTGCTCCGACTGTCGGCAGCCGGCGCCGGCCACAGGCAGATTGGAGATGGAATAACGGTGGGATAGCGAACTCACTACCCAGTCAGTCCTTCCAGGAGAGCTGGTGATTGTAACCTACCTAGGTAGTTCCTGTGAGACCAGCGCACGCCGAGCGACCAGAAGCGACAGGGAGTATTCCGTTACAGTTCGCAGAACACCGAGTGATGCTAATCTCCGTCTGCGCAGCGCTCGGTGAGTGGGTGAGACGGACGCCGAGCACGGCTCATCGGCCGGCGGCCGGCTGCGGCAGTCAGAAATAGCCAGCCGTGCAGCGCGGCTCACCGCCGCTCCGTGCGCTCTGCACAGCACTGGTCGGCTGGATCAGCACGGCGGCACGGAGCAGGACCGGCGGCACACCACACAGCACCAGCACAACACCACACTACACCAATACAGCACCACAACGCACAGCACCAGCAAAGCACCGTCCAGCACAGCTCCGGACTGTTACACCACCGCTCTCCGCCGGCCCGCCGGCTCCGTCACGTGGCCTCGCGTCGGCCCTGGCCCCGCCCTCCGTCGTCCAGTCCAAACAGCACACGCACACAGCAGTGTTTACAGACGCCAGCGCCATCTCTGGCGAGCGATGGGAAGGATAAGTGGGGACTTACTCACCAGTTGGCAAGTGATTACTGCAGTCATTCGGGGCGCTGGGCAAGCAACGTTTCTTCCTGTGGCCAAATGCTGATGGGAGTTACAACCTTGATCCAAGGGTTTCGTGCGCTATTTTGGCATGCAAGAGCTTTGTTCCCAATAAGCATTACTAAACTGCCCAATTGTCAGGCGAAAATTAGTAGACGACACATTATTTTCGCCAAAGCAGCCAAGCAATACTGGTATCATCCGCAGACAAGTGCCCGTCGGACCCACCTGGAAATGTCCTCAGTGCTGACAGCCCGCGGCGTGGCGCTCAGATCGTAGGAAGAGTTGCCGTAGTAGCCGGAGGTGTTGTGAACCGCTGAAACGGGACGGGAGGCGGACCGATGAGACTCAGCAGGCACTTACATACGAATATGGTTAACAAGACAAACACGGGTCACACATCGCACGAAACCCCGAGGTGCACATTGCACAGTACACAGTTCACGCAATAGGGTGACACAGTTCACAAAGCACGCACGAACAGGGAGTATGTAAAGTGTACTCAGCACACTGGATGGACGGCACACAAACGCCAGGCGGTGGCAAGTTCAGTGTTGAAATATATGTACCCTCACAGACCCCAGCTCTGTCGCCCTCTACCATCACCATCCACAACCATCCGACTCACAGACGGGTCGGGACGTCGGCTCCGGGTCCTCCCTCTTGTACACCGGCTGCCTCTCCAGCGGCTCCGGTGTGGGCTGTCGGCGCACCGGCTCTGGGGTTGGCTGACGGTGGTACACAGGCTCGGGCGTGGGCTGGCGGTGGGGGACCGGCTCCGGGGTGGGCTGCCGCTGGTACACCGGCGCCGGACTGGGCTGCCGCGCCGGCGCCGGGGCGGGGGCGGGGGCGGGGGCGGGGGCGGCGGGGCGGCCGCCGTCGCTGGTGTCGGCCCACCCGGTGACAGTGGCTGGCAGCGGCTGATTGTTACTGTCCGCCATCTTGGAGACAGTCAGCACCACCCGGTCCTGGACGGACTTGAGCGTGGCCACGGCCTCCTCGTGTGTGACGTTGGTCAGCTCCACCACGCCCCGCTGGTGGACACAGGGGAAACGATACATCAGCGATCGAGTCGGATGTCAAGATGCCACATGTGACACGTAACAGCGGCACAGACAGACCACCTAACGAGAAGACTCGGTAGCATCTCATACACCGGGGAGCAAAACATTAGACGGTGGCCGTAGCAGTGCCAGGAGACAGGTACGCGGCGCTCGTTTTCATTTTCCCAGGGCGGCCCCACCAACTGACCGTCGACCGCCCTCCACCCCCCACCCACATCCGTATGACCGCCGCGCCGCCCGCCATGAACCACATGGTCCAGTTCCGTTGGCAGCGGGGGCGACCAACTCCCAGACCCGGTCAGGAAACAGTGTGGCAAGGAAATGGCGTCTGAGCCGGTACCAGCGGGGTATGACGGTACAGAATACAACAGGGACTAATGCAGCCGAATAGCTGAACAGTGACGCATGGGTATGAATAATAACAATGCCAAAGAACAGCCAGATGTATACTGATAACAGCATGATACAGTGAACATTTTTATAGGATTCAAACACGCCAGACTCAAATGGCGTGTCATATTCTGCATAGCGGGTGCAGGAGGCGAACAAACCGACAGTGGGTAAACACTAAGCAGGTTGTAGATATACAAGGTCGACTGCAGTGGCAAATGAACCGTAGGAAGACATGGGTATTGGGTACACGAGACATGGATACAAGGACTCGTAAGTACACTCGCCAAAAGTGCACCGTCCGCGGGTACTCGTTAGTAAGTACATAGCATGTGGTGAATGCCCCCCCCCCCCCCAAGCACACGCTTCACGGGTTATCGGACCACCCTGATACGTACCCCGGCGTCGACGGCCACCAGTTTGTCGCCGACGGCCAGCCGTCCGTCCAGCTGAGAGGCGCCGCCCTCCATCAGCTTTGTAACGTATATACCTGCCGATCGCCGACAAAACGCAGGTGAGTCAGCCTCAGGTTGTGTTAGGTAAGGTAAGATAGGCAGAGCGAGACACAGACCAGGAGGGTCAGCTTTGTCATATCTGCCGATTGCAGAAAGAACACAGGTCAGTGGGCGCATGATTCCACCGTCGACAAGCCCTTACATCCCAACAAGAAGCCGGAAAATGACGCCGAAGTCAAACTGCACACGGAGACGATGGCCAGCGGTCGTCCACGTGCGGTCTGTGGCCCGCAGTCGTGCGGCCACCTGACGTCATTACACTAAATAGTACCGATCTGACGCCACATATATGACGTCATCATTACGCTGAGCCGTACGCAAGGTCGCCTGACGAGGCACCTGTCCTCGCATCCACCACGGGGGGGGGGGGGGCGTACAGGTGCGGTCGCTGGCGGCGGCTAATGGAGCAGAAGTCCGCCCATCACTGCATACCTAGTAACAGAACCAAATCAGGGACATCTTCTAATTGAGCCTCGATTTTAAGCTTTGCTTTAATAGATCGCTAATTTTCACAGCACTATGCAAATACAGCCAATATTGTGGGCGGTAGCCATGCCATTACTTTCCAAACTCAATCTTCTTCAACAGTCTGCCACCTGCCGGCTATCAGGCCTCCCCCACAGCCCGTGTCTCCAACTTTGTGCAACTATCCCACAACTATTGGATGGTTTTGTTTCATCATTTCCGCCAGGTTCGTGCCGATATAGCAGCCCCAAGATACATGAAGCCCCAATCAATGTCCACGGCGCGTCCTATTGCGTCAGCACCGTATCCATGTGCGGTATTATTTCAATTACCGTTTCCTGTCTAGTGCAGACAATATTGATTGACTCCGCTGCTCGCTCTATCTTACCATTATCCCCGGGTATGTGTTGGTTGCCGATCCCACCGGCGATGCTGAAACCCAGTCCACGACTTCCTTTGAACAGTTCTATCCGCTCCAGCAGCTCCCGGCGAGGCTGGCGGCGCCGCTTCACCGACTGGGGGAGACAAGGGGTCGGGGTGTCAGCGAGTCAGTGTGTCAAAGTGTCAGCAAGTTAGGATGTCATCAGGTCAGGTCATCGAACACAGGCGCACACGGATGCACCACCATGACACAATCGTACGGCATTATCTCTTGCCCCAGGACGTCAACGCTGACTCGTCGCCGACCGATCATATGGTGGTCCCAACCTCTTAATATGCACAATTGCACAGGTAGGCCCATGTTGTCTTATGCCATCATTATCCCTGTAGCCTTATAAGCAAACCAATCTCACCCTAAATCGTTCGCTACGCCCCTCCTCCCTATCCTTCTTCGCCATCGGTGACCCCACCCCGACCTACCACCCCTCACCCCTCCCTCACCAGCTGGACGGTGGTGCCGGCCCGTTTGAGTGACTCGACGGCCCACTCGTGGGTCACGTTCACCACGCTGACGCCGTTGACGCGGGCGATCATGTCGCCGACTCGGAGCCGGCCGTCCTGCGCCGCCGTGCCGCCCGGGATCAGCTTGGTGATGTAGATGGACGGGTCATCGCTGAGGGAGGAACAGTCACTGGTTAGAGGTCAGTAGTGGAGGCCAAGGGTCAATGACGAGGGCTCACGGGTCACTGGTCACTTTGACTTTGTTCGTCAGTGGAACATATATCGCTCAATAAATAGTGAACTGGTCATGGTCATGGGTCTTATTAGCGATCACTAGTAAACGGCCACTTCCTAGTCAGTGGTCATGGGTCAGTCATGGTCTCGGGTCTGACACAAGTTATGTTTGCAGACGTTGTTGGCCGAGCTGGCACAATACTCGCCGCTCTATCTCGGCCCGAGAGAGCGCGAGAGAACACGGCGGCGGCCCATACACACTGGCCCGGCCGGTGGGCGGCTACAGCCAAACAACTGTAAACACGGCCCGCTCGCACCGACGGTGCTCCGTCCGGCACACTGTTGGCTCTTTGTCAGACCCCCCGATCCGCCTCTTAGTAAGCACACTGGGCAGCCTTAGCCCTCTGAGCGGTCCTCCCTCCATCATGCAATCCATACGTCCCTCCTGCACCCGCTCTTCCTCAAGATTTTCATCTTGCACAATGCACAGTGCACCACTTGTCAGTCCTCCTTGCGGCCGTCCCTCCACCCTGCTCTCAGTCAAGCGCTCAGCCAAGCCCTCTGTTCCCCCAGTCTAATTTCCGACCCTCCAGTCCTGTAAGTCCCTCCGCCTACCCTTTCGTCGGCACTGCGCCAGTCCCTCTGTCCCTCCAGCCCTCCGAAGGCCCTTGGTGCGGCCCTCAGCCAGCCCTCGGTCGTTGACTTACCCCACGTGCGGGTTGTCGTGACCGCCGGCGATGCTGAACCCGAGCCCCTGGCTGCCGCGGTGCAGCACGATCTCCTCATACTCCCACTCCTCCGCATCGCCGTTCAGCTGCCGAAGAGAAAGAGGGAGGGTAAGCTGCGGCTAGATACAGATAGGGGAGAGCGGGGAGAGTTGTATCATGTCCAAGTTGTATCAGGGCGAATTGTGCCAAACTTATCCAATAGATAGCGCTCGTGACACGACCAGCCGACGAGGTTTTCCGAGCGCCATCTTTCCCTGTTCTGTCGTGTGGCTGGGTGGACGCGTCTCGAGGTGAGAGCCGATTTTATGTTTGTTTAATGTCATTCTAAAAAAAAATGAGTTGCAAGAAAATGTGTGTTTGGGGCATTTAGATGTGCACGAACTTGAAAGATCTCCGTAGCGGTGGTGAGGGTAGGTTCTAAGGCTGCGTGAGTGAAAATGGATTTCTCCAGCTGTCCGCTGTTTTTAAGCACGAGGATGTTTTTTCCAAGATGGCGGCGAGGTACATGTTGTATCAGAGCCGGGTGGGGTATGTTGTAACATGTATGTATGTATGGGCATGTTGCTTTTGATCGCGAAAGCTAGGCCCCGTCTCGTGTTTGTAGGTAGCTAGTCAATACTCGTTCCATTTCGGCACAATGTGTTGGCTTCTTTGCTCTTAACGGGCCACTTTTGCATCTAGTCTGTTGATGTTTCGTTCGTTTCGATGCTTCGTTCGGATTGCATTGACCTAAGTTTGGTCTAATAAAAGTGAAGCCTTTGAGCATATACATTGTATTAACCCCATTTAATGTTGTTGTTATGTTCAAAACCAGTAGCAAGCACACTCCCTGAAACGTGAAATACCTAGTGATACAAATTACCCCACCATGTGATACAACTCACCCAAGCCATGGGGCAAGTTGTATCAAAAACATTGTTCTATTCGGCAGACCGTAGAAGAAAAACTGGTAGAGGTAGCGGAGAAGTTACTTTGCACAAAAAAGCAGAAGAATCAAGGAAGGAGATACTATGGAAATAATGAGTTTATCACGGATAGTTACGAGGTTATGGGTCTCGGAGTAAAAACTGATACAACCCACCCCACTCTCCCCTACTGTGGGTAAATATGGGTAAATCAACTCACGTCAGATCGGTGAGATGGGTCAGAGACGGGGTGAGCGCGCCAGCTGCGGAAGGGACAAGGAAGAGAGGGTCGGAAACTTTAGCTGACAGAGACGGAGAAAGGTCAGTCGCGGCCCACAGAGTCAGTGGATCAGACAAAGACATAAACAATCTGTAACTAGGGGAGACGTGGATAACAGGGGTAGTCGCAGGGCAGCACCGATAACCAGAGGTTTTACATTGCTGGCCAGACGGGACACGCTATTTGGTAATGGTACGGTCATTAGGGCTTTCAGACCGATTACCAACCAGCCATACCGTTCGCAGTGGTGGGACAGGAGCGCACGGAACAGGTGCATTATTTCCCTCCCCAAGCATACGCATATAAATAGCATACAAACAGAGTTTCCATGACGACCGCCGCAAGTCACAGTCCACGCCATCGAGATCCGTGCCAGCGAGCTACGGCTAAGGTCACCGAACGCCACGGTAACTAACCGAGCGCAAGTCAAAAGTCGAACTAAGAGTGCCGAAATAAGCCCTGGGTAGCCTGGGTCAGCGTGCGGCGATACAGCAGGCTTACGAACCCTCATCGGTCGACCGCAAGGCTGCTTCCCGTGATGAAGTTAGTCCAGCCCCACACCGTGAGAGGAGTCGTAGAAAGGAGGAATCGCAATACACAGTATGTACACAGCGAACGGAGCCGTTAGGTAACCATACAGCAGTGCGCTGGCGGATGTAGCTAAAGTAACACTACACCCCCGCTGGGTGTATTGTAACACCAGCCCCAGCGCTGCGCAAAAGCCGCCGCACGTGCCACGGCACCGAGAGTGCTGCGTTACAGAATCACAGCCAGAGGCACAGCGGAGCAGTCCGTGACGATGAGGCACAGAGTATCACGTAGGTAGTCAAAAGAGAGGCCCGTGCTATGTTCAGGATGTTAGGGAGATCCGTATTATGATCCGGTACTTGCAAGGTCCATGTCATATGTCGGAGCTGGGAAGGTTGGTTTCACATGATGTTACATGAAGGTTTGTGTCGTCAGTGTCATGTGCTGAAGAAGTACGCTGACGACGAAGCAAAGAAGTACGGGCCTCCATTCGGTCGGTACACACCAACTGAGGCCTCATTCGGCGCGTGGCGACTCCCGTATCCGACAGGACATTCCGTATCAGTCGGAGGTGCGCGTCCTTCACAGCGGTGGCCTGCGACCTCACTTCCATATCGGCACAGGTAAGTTGTAGGACGTCACATATATGGACACGGTGCCGTCACAGTAACTCTCCTAGTCCTCACGACATCCAAGTGCGTAGCAGCTTCAGGAAGGCATGCCATCGCACAGTGGGTCGGCTGTAGACGATCCAAGCTGACAGGGAAGCAATCTGTTCACTACGACTCAATGTTCAATAATGGCATGATTTGCGATTAGCAATGGTCAGTGATTGCTACCACTCCAAGTCAATGGCATTTAATTTCAAGATCGATGAGGTCAGCAATCGACATCTAGCTTTGGGAGACTTCTTCAAATGTTTGCACCTAAAATCGAGAATAAGTTGCTCTTCTTTTGAGAATGTCAGGAGGATCGTCAAGAGTCAGCAGAGTTATTATGCCCCACCGATACTGTTTAGCTCTCAGCAGCAGCTGCTGGCCCGCTGAGCTGTTGTGAGCAGACGGAGCCGGCAGGCAGACGCGGTGAGCAGGACTCATGTCGGCGTGCGAGCCGCCGGCCGGTAGGCGTCGTGGTGGCGCCGACATTGGTACTGTACCGGCCACCAGGAAAACGGGCACCTCGGCACACACGGCGACGCCTCATAGACCGGTCCGTTCTGACACCAGCTGGGCAGACACGAGACGCCGGCTAAAGCGGACATACTGCACCGGCTAAAGCGGACATACTGCACCGGCTACAGTAGACATACTGCATCAGCTAGCGTGGACACGGGACGCCGACTAAAACAGGCATACTGCACCCACTAGGACGGATATATGTAGGTACTGCACCAACTGAGCGGCCCTAGAGGGGACCAGCTAGAGGGGACACGGGACACCGGCTAGGGCGGACACGCAGCCACACCGAACCAGCTAGAACAAATTCGACACACCAGCTAGATCGGGCACATCACCCAAATGTGGCGGAACCGCTGCGATTGAGACATTGCACCAGCCTGGGCGGCCACAGTGCACCACACAACCTTATCTGTGCAGCTGACAATCGTTTCCAAAATACAGGAAGCACTGGTCACCTCAGCCGTTGCTCCTCTATGCTCTTGAACAGCGTACTATTCCTGTGGGCCCCCTGTACCCGGTCTCGATGCCTCACTGTTGTAGGTCATCATACGGCCCCCGCGCGGCCAGTGCCAGGCCCTCATACGGCCGACAGACGGGCCAAGCCATTACACGGCGCCGGGCAGCCACGGCACGTGGTCCCGTGGTCCTGTGGACCTGTAGAGCCCCTAATAATAGGTGGTTGCAGCGGGGAGACGAGCCAGGATGAAGACAGTACCGGCAAGCAGCTGCAGACAATATCTGTTGTAATACATGTGTTCATGACAGTACTCACAAGAAGAGAGACCAACTGAGACTGATAGCGGCAGGCAGCCTCAAAGGTCTGAGATCTGAACCACGGCTCCAGGCAGGGCAGGGAGCTTGACAGCCTCTGACAGCGTCTGTCTGTCGCTAAGACGGCAGGCGGGGAGTCAGGGTGACTGGAGCAGCGGCAGGCAGCTGCATAATGAGCCTGTGACTGCTGACCGTCCGTTTAACGAGGCATGACAGACTCCGTCTTCGCTCAGCGAAGCGATGCGTGGCTCTCCCCCGGCCTAAGCCAAGCCAAACCGCGCGGCGTCGGTCCCACGACCAAACGGTCCGTGTAACAATGTGAACCATTTGCCTATTTTCACTAGTCACGTATGAGTACCATTGTGAGTGCCGGTGCGGTGCGGGTGGCGACATAAAGCAATACACGCAGCAGCGTAACAGCTCTCACAGCTACATCGCCAATCAATAGGTGCTTTTGGCACCATATGTCACTCGTGTCACGCCGATACGCGGGCGACGCGTAATCACATCAGCCATAGCGGCACCTGACGAGCGGCCCGCCGTGGTGCGCAGGCAGGCGTGACGTCGGCCATCCTGTCGACACACGGCGAAAGGGAGGCGGGCGGTGCGCGGAACGGTGCGTCCACAGGTTACTTTTGAACTGGGGCACGAACGTCGAACGCTAACTAGATGGTAACTATAAAGCCCGCGCCGTGTTGTCAGTGTGTCCTGTCCGAGCCGAAGATCTACACTGTACTCGTACCTCCGGACACTGCGTCCTTGTTGGGGATTCACCCCGGTAAATCATCCCGTCATCGCCAGGAATTCACCCAGGTCAGCGCCGGGATTCACCCTCGCCCCACCCCATACCGCCCGGTGAGCGTTGGCCGCTGGCCGGCCGGCCCGGCGCGGCGGTCGGCCCGACCGACCAACCAGCCGGCCGGCCGGAGCGAGCCGTGGCAACAGGTGGGTAACGTCCGCGGCCGTGCCTGTCCGGCCCCGTCCGCAGGCCAGCCGAGATGGCGGCAGATTGTTCACGGCTCCAACCGAGGTCACGCCGGCACCCAGAGCCGTCAGAGACGGACTACAGCCACGCCACGTCAGGCCGGTGAGCGCCGAGGGCGGCGGAAAAGGAGCGCCGAATTAGCGAGCACGAATAATGGCACGCACCGCCAGGAGCATGGCTCGAATGGAAAATGAGCTAATTGGAAAGCGAAACATTGAATCCAAGTGAAAACGGTACAAGAATTTGAATCGCAAAAGGACTTTACTAATATGAACGACTCACATACCGTGGGTTACGAATGCAAGGCGATTCTAAACTTGCAAGGTTCAAAAAGATTGTGGACAGACATTACACAGAGCCGGGAGTCGGGACAGCGACAAAAGGGACCTTCTCGAGATGCAAAGCTACCCACTCACTCGCGCAAACAGTCGCCGGTGACGGCACAACACACACAAACACACCCAACACCGCCCGCCGTATGCAAATACTGCCGCCAAAGCACACAATGCAAGTCGCAAGATGGAAGGGTGAAGGGCTGGAAGTAAGGTAGCCACCCCAAAGGAGGTTGGCTCTAGGCATGACCGAGACGCAAATCTTGCGAAAAGTAGGTACTGTTTCACCGCTGTATACCCTTACAACAAATACGGTTCACTCAGTATATTTTGTTGTGACCTATGGCCCGTGCGACCACCCTGTCAGAAAGCCCCCATTTCGCTGCACCGCTGTCACGCTGTCCCACTGGGTCGGACAGGACACATCTGCAGCGGGCCGGAACCGGCGTCGGTGTCAGGTAGGCCCACGGGTGAGGACAGGAAGGCTGGCCTGCCCCGCCCACAGCGGCTGCGACCGCTACTGAAAGCTGTGCTCGAAACCACTGGGGGAGAGTGCTGGGAAACGTTACATAATGCTACAAACCAACTGAGGATTGAATACGGCGGGGAGTGCGAGCGTTACCAAACGGACACGGTCGCCAGATGCCTAGTCAGGTGCCGAGGGAGTGGCAGGCCAGGTCAGACATTAGCCCAAGATCTACAACTGGGCAGCCGGCTCCAGAAGCTGCCGCAGGGCCAGAGGCTGCTGCTGCACCAGGCTCGCGCTCTCCCAGAGCAGCGGCAGCTGGGCCAGTGATCCTCCTCTGCAGGGGCGCCGCCCATCCCCTGCCCTGCAGCCTTCCAGCTGGGCTGGCCAGCCGGGCCGACCAGTCGCACCGCATTCCAGTGGCGGCCGGCGACCGGGCGGCGTCCCGCGCCCCGTGTCCGGCAGGTTACCCACCAGGCTATCGTTGGACGTGTACTCGGTGCGGTTCTTGCGGCCGTTGCTCCAGCGGCGCGCTGGCATGCCTGGCCGGCCGGTGGGCCTCGCTGGCCACCGCTGCTCTCACACGCACACCGGACACAGGACGGTTAGCACTCGCAGGTCACCACCGAACACGGCACGGGCACCACGCGCCACCACCGGTCAGCACCACCGCACCACTGCCGCTCACCAGCCTGCCTCATCCAACCGCCGGCGGACAGTCTCGAAACGAACCGCGCACCGCCGCTGACGTTAATACCAGCTCTGACATAGTGACATGACCGGCGCATAGTTCGCTAGGCAATGACTCTCAGTAGTCACATTCAAACACGACAAAATGTTCATGACAGTCTATCCACCTGCCTGCAGAGCGGTCCAGTCTCTGCCGCCCCGCCCGGGGACGGACCCGGCGCTCTGTCAGAGAGTGTACACCAGGTGAGACAGGTGTACGTTTCGAGGCCGGCCGGGCAGGTTGTCGGGCCGCGCCGGTTTGCAGTCTGTTTGGCAGTGTATACGATGGGAATAAAGATGTGGGGAGACGGGGTTTGGACGGGGAGGGGTAGAGGAGGGCACGTCATGCTTCCAGCGGTAACCTGTGCCGGCAGTGAGACGGTGGGATCTGCAGGGGTCGGGTCAGGTGGCCAGGGCCGCTGGGCCGAGTGTTGGGCAACAGGTGGGTACCGGCAGGTCACCTGGCCGACAGGGGTCATCCGTAAGGTCAGAGCATCCGCCAAATAAAGGGGTCAATCGGTTAAACGGCCAGGTGGCGGTACGAACGAAACCGCACCACATCATCCACTGGTCCATCCAACGGGCGCTGCCCTTCGACCACTCCAATGGTAATTCAGGTAGAGTCGTGGATGTATTACGCCGGGTAAAGCTCAGGCGAGAGTTCCTATTCAGATGTAGTTGAATATTTTCCATATACTTTTTTATAATTTTGCACTTTTGAGGAATGCCGCAGGGATGCTCTTTTCACAGCCATAAGATGAGCGTAAAAAACTGCCGTCCGACCGACAAAGTACACACCGGTAAACTTCGTGTCACTTTCCCCGAGACTTGAGAAACTTGTTCATCATTACAAATTCGATTGTTCGAAAGGATAAACAAGCTTGCCATCATCAAATAAATGAAACTTACTGATGGATTACGTAAAAGTTAAACGTTATGCATTTGCATACACACAATTCGGTACATTTACATTGAAGGGCGAAATTATCCAAACGTTTTCAAGTGCATGCAATGGTGTGCTATTTGCATCCTGAATACTGCACGTGGTTTTGCGCCGTCGTGTTAAATTCGCATATCGAATGTTGTGATTTTAATTGCCCATTTACCTTCTTATGTAAAAACGAGTCGCCTACGAAGAAACATGCATTTCACTCTGCATTTCACTCATGAATAATGAAATAAGCATCAGTTTCGCAAGAAATTCGGCGAAGTGCCAGCAATCCGTTTCACGGGCAAAACTTACAACATTTCATGAACGATTAACCTGCTCAGCTCTCACGTCCAAGAGTGGTATGAGTCAAGACGTCTGAGTAATGACGTCTCAATGCTCAGTGCATAACCGTGCTTTACCTGCCACCTGACGATGGAAATACGAACCAGAGCTTACCTGTTTGTCCACCGAACCGAGCAGCGGCGCTGTGACCGGCTCGTCGTCCCAGCTGGTGTTCTGCCAACAAAATTGAACGGACTATGTCAACGGCAGCCAGCCTGAACGAATCACACATTTGATCACACTTCACGGGCAGTTTGCATCAAAGCGCAGAGGGTAGGTGAATGGTAGGTACCTACCACTTTTGCACTATCCACACATTCCTATTCCATTATTCAGCTATAGGTGTAAAATTGCTATAATAATTTCCACATATCACCATCGGATGGGAAAACGATCAACGACTCACTTCAATTATCTAGAGGGTATTCAGAATACGATAGATTAGCTGTTAAAACAGCAAATGATGGCCTTGAAGTAGTCGCTAAAGATTAACAATGTTTAGTGAACTGAGTAGCCGTCCGGGCGTGGGCCAAAAGTGACCAGACCAGTCTCCCTGCCCAGTCTTCAACCAACGTCCGGCCCAATGTTCCGCTGTCATGGTTAAAAGTATGGAACTGGGCCTTAGCAGCGGCAGGGCTTCGTATCGACCGAGTGCGGGGCCTCGGCGACAGGCCAGGGGGTGGGTAGGGTGACGAGGTAACGGCTCCATCCCACAGGTCAATGGGAAGGTGACGATCCACAGCCACAGGTCGATGGGACGGGAATGGGCCCAGTCACAGGTCACTGTGACATGATTACAGCTCAGAGTCACAGGTCACTGGGCCGGACGGTAACGATATATAGTCACAGTTCAATGGGACGGTAACGAACCCAGCCACAGGTCTGTGGGACGGTAACGGCCACAGCCACAGGTCAGTGGGACGGTAACGGTCGCAGCCACAGGTCTCTGACGGAAACCGTCCTAGCTACAGGTCACTGTGTGACACGATTACAGTTCGCGACCAACAGTTTATGGGGTAGTAACGATTCACAGCCACAGGTCACTGAGGCAAGATCACAACTCGAGGCCGCAGGTCAAAGGGACGGTAATCATACAGCCTTGAGCCACAGATCAATGGGACAGTAAACCTTAAGTTTGAGGTTGAGAGCCACAGGTCGATGGGGCGGTAACAGCCCCAGCCACCGTCACTGTGACACGACTACAACTCGGAGCCACCGGTTAAAGGGACCCTCCCACCTTTAAAAAAGTTTATGAATTGGCATGAAAGTGATGTCGCTCGGTTCAGAAAGAGCGAAAACGAATATCTACCAAATTTCACCGAAAAATATTCACCGGTTTTCAAGATATTAGACTTTTACTTTTGTTTACTTTTTGGGATCTCCGCTGTTCCTAGCGACTTTATTTAAAAGTGCGGCATTTGCTGCGCGCAACGCAGCATATACCACCGCGTGCTACAAAACGTTTTAGTCAAACATTTAACGGACGTTCGAAAGCCTGATGACGTCATCAGATTTAAGTGCCAATACCAATACATTGTGGCACTTATTTGCACAGATGTCAAAATCAAACTCAAATTTCTTTGCGATGAAGTAATTGCTGGAGAAACGGTTTTCACGGCACTGATTTTCAGAGAACGTCCATCAAGATGGCTATCTCAACTCAAATCTAATGTTAAGGTGGGACAGTCCCTTTAATGAGTGACGAACTCCAGCGGCATGGGGTTACTACGACGGTAACGGCTGAGAGCCACAGGCCAATAGGACGGTAACGATACAGCCACAGGTCACTATAACATCATTACAACTCGGGGCCAAAGGTCACTGTGATGGTAACGGCCCCAGCTATCGACACCCACACTGTCCACGACTTCCGGCACTGCCCGGGCCGGGGCGGGGCGGGGCCGGGTCGCCCTGGTGACCAACCCGGCGCGTCGGACCGACTGCTAACGCCAGGCAACGGTCACATGGCCCCAATCAGCTGTTGGCCCGCGACCTCGGAAAACAGCAATGTCATTACAGCAATGGGATACGTCCTTTGAAGTTTAACACTAAGCTAACCCACTGTTTCTTAAAACGATAATATTGTTAAAGCGACGAAAAACTGTGGCTACAACAGCAATATGCCGAGTGTGGACGCCAGCAGACGGCTTTCCTTTCGTCGACGAGTCATTTGCTAATTATTGCGACATACTATTTTATAAGTTTTATAACACTTTATTTAACTAAAAATCATTTGTGATTACAGGTGACCGAATAAGTGAAAACTAAAATGCCAAACAGACAAAAATACAAAACGAGACAGACACAGACCGGCAGACAGACCCGGACAAACCGTCACTTAACCGTCACGTCCCTCCGACACGGCCTTACCAGCAGGTAGGCGGAGCGGGCCGGTCGCAGCACCCGGTGCAGTTTGTCCAGCATGGCGCCCCCCAGCCGACCCCGTTACCACCCGGCCCGTGTACGGGGGACTGCCGACTGGCGCGGCACACGCGGCCCGGCGACACCAGCAGCCACCTGTGCTGGCCACCTGCCACCGACGGGCCGCCGCCGCCGCCGCCGGTTACAATCAATGGCCCGCCACCGCCGGTGTCAATTGATCGACAAGGCGAGCAGCCGGTTCGCACACAGTTCCAGCAGTCCACTCCAAAGAGTCCAACCGGTCCATTGAGTCCCACTGATCACACCAGAGCGCCACCGATCCCATCAAATTCATCCATACAACATAATATCTCTGACCAATTTCTCGCACCCCGACTACAGAATGTCACATCGATCCCACGCACACGTACCACAAAGCGGGTCGCTAAGTTCATCCAAGCTTCCAAAAGTCCCACCGTTCCATCCCAACGTCATAACATCATACCACCACCAACTCCACTCTCACCGCTGAACGCCGTACTACCAGTCAGACAGACAGGCAGGTGTCCTGTGCGGGGAGGGACGTCTGTCGGCTATACGGCAGCTCCGCAAAAGGTCGGCGTCGAACAGGTGTTCACCGATCTCGACGGACGGTACGGACACAGCCGTGGCTGCGCTGAGTGCGTGTAAGTACACTTCTACACACCACAAACGCGTACTGCGTGTAGCCATACGCACTGCGCGTGTATCCGTGGCGAATTCTTACCTCTGATGGAAGCGTGGCCTCGCCAGCAGACGGCCGACGTCCACGGCCGGCTCCGGCGGACCCCAGTCGCGCCGGGCCAGAGGGTGTGTCCGTCGGTATCTGTAGCGGACGGGTCAGGTCAGCGCGGAGGGCGGAGGTCACGGTATGACGACAGAAGGGTGTCGGTCGGCAGGACAGCGGGATCACACAGCCGCCGCACGCGCAGGCCAGCACGGCCATGCTGAGAGCGGCAGTGTGCCGGGCCGAGTGGCCGCGCTGACCGCTCTGTGCCGGCGGACCGGTCAGTGCTGCTCCCCGACCCCTACTGCACCTTTATCAGCTACGTCAGCAGCTGGCACACACAGCCGCCGCGGCAGTTCTAGAAAACAAACACAAACTCACGCTTCCTGCACGGCAGTGTACCTATTCATACGGCTCCCGGATGCGCCGAAACGCAAATAGAATGTCTGCCAATATCGCATAATGGCCACTAGGAACTGATATACCAGTAACGCGAAAGGAAGCAAAATAACACTTGTTAGTACATCACAGGGCAAGGATAGCGAAACGAGGAGGGGTAGAACACGTTTACCTTCACTGGGTAGAGTGGTGTTTGGCGGAGGCGGCGTCCCATGACAATTGTTACATGGCTATTGGCAATTGCTGTCAGTTGATGACATGTTACATGTTCCCATGATAAAGACGGAGCCCGGGAAGAGACGCTTCCTTTTCGCCGCTGCAACAGCTCTTTATCGACTGCCTCCAAGCATGCGTGATCTGGACATGAGACCTTTTAAAAATGAACTTCGCCAGCATTTGCTGCAGCAACAAAGGAACGATCGTTAGCGGCGCCTACTCCTTGTGACGACACTTATGTGATAGTGTGGTCGTGACATTGGTGGGGAACGATGGCTTATGTATGTATGAATGTCATGTATGTGTGTCACCCTGATAACCACTATTTTATTATTTGACGCTGGCTCTAGAATAGCCACACAAGTGTGGAGTGAGGCAATGACGTGAAATAAACATGTAAATAAATAAATAAATAAATAAGTTTTCAATCAGCTTAACCCGGCAGTTGCTGGGGTATTTCGCCACCCACCGTTTGCTGGGGGGGGGCGTTAAACGCCCCCAGCCGATAACTCGAGAACCAATAGGCGCAGCGAAACGCACGAGGCGGCAAACGAAAGAACGCGACGAGACGCTTCAGATGAGTACTTAAAAGTTGAATTTTGAGGTCACAGGTCAGGTCAAGGTCAGGTCAAACACCTGAAATCGGGCTTTCAGTAGCATGGACTTCAGGACTTCGCAAAGGGCGCCTCTTGTCATAAACTCTGTCAAAACGGTGCACAATCCATCATATAAGGCCTACAAGAGTGTCAGCTCCATGTAGGGGTCAGTCAAGCATAGGTCAGGGTCAAGGTCAGGTCAACCGGGCAGGCACATATTCCCGAAAATCAAAACTGATATTCGCAGCCTGTGACACATGTTTTATGGGTAATTTGGGGCGTAGAACACGATGGTGACATTCATTTTACCATATGTGTACGTGTTTGGCTAAAAAAGTTCAAATTAAGAAATGCATGTATCATGGTAATGAAGTAGTCACGAGAAATTGCCAAGATTCACTTCAAGATTTTGGAAAATGCGGAACGATAATCAACAATCGAAGATAGCCATTTGATTGTTCATGGTATTGGCAGTCTAATGGCGTTTACGGCATGTCTGTATGTCTATTCTGTGATTTTATATGATTTTTTGAACATATGCCGTTTTTGGTCGAAAACTCAGAAATCATGACGTCACTAAAACCTCGATATCTCAAAAATTTTCCGACCGATTTTTTTGAAACTTTGTCACAATAAGCTTCAATCAATTCCCTACAGGTACCCAAAATTTGGCGCGCCTGCGGCGCGCCGTTTTTATGCTATGGCCCGGCGAAAAAAGTGGGGGCGTTTAACGCCCCCCCCCCAGCAACTCGCGGGTTAAACCGGTCCGCAAACAGAGCTGCGCTGATCACGGAACCCTTCAGGTGCAAAAGTCGAGGGTGTTTGCGCAAACCAGCAACTAGTTTGTGAGAAACTTGCATATGTTTCAAAGAACCACAAGCACTTCAAAGAGAAAACAGCAACTCAGTCAATGTTGACGCAAATCTCGGGAGTTAGGTACGGCCTCGTCTGCGGCCGAACCGGAAAACAGCATCTACTGCCAGTTCTGACTGCACGGCCGTCAGTTGTTGCTAATCCATCTTAGTTGTAAGCAAATAGGTAGAAACAGTACGGAGAGCATTACCGACTACTAGTAAGACCGACGAAGCTGCTCAGTTAGAGTTTGTAGGCACGTGCCGGCGGCGGCGGCTGCCCCTGTCGGTTGGTGAGGTGACCTTTTCACGGGCGTGTCAGCGTCGCATCAGGCATAGAACGGCGCCCCTGTCACCGCCACGACGTCATGGTGCAGCCCATGAATCAACCTCGACTGCGCCGCAAACTAGCTATTACATATCCCGTGAGCACAAACTATACACTCGGTGACTCGCACATATATACGGAGCAATGCACGTATGAATGGCGAGTTGAGTGAAATGCATGGTCCAGTATTGGGCCGTGTCGATCCATAACATTTCAGCATCCGCAGGAACTGATATTTTATGGACACATATTAGTAGTTAAAAAGTTTTTAAGTGATCAGGTAAGTAGACCTGTAGCTCGATTGCTCGAATGAGGCAATTGTTTTGCTGTTACATGGTTTGCTGTTTCCGGAATACCGAAGAAGACAACTAGTAAATACGAGTACATTATCATATTTCGAAAATATCACACAACAAACAACACAGAAATCACAGTTAAAACGTATAAACCAAAAACGATATATCCCCAACCAATCATCGGTTCGAAACACGAAACAATGTCCACGATTATAATGCCTGGCAAGTGGCAACGCAATGTCCCTTTTCCCAACCCACGATTATACAGCGCCAACTTTATAAAATGACGATGATATGACAGTTTGAGCAGCGGCAGCAGCATACGCGCTCAAATAAGGTCCACAGCACAGCATTCAACTACCAACAGCAGCACCTGACTGTGGCACTCGGAAGCTGCCAATCTGCGATCATTCACACCACGGTGAAGACTGAAGGTTGGCTTATGCCGAGAAGATCAGCCTAAAGGCGAGTTAGGCAGACAACTCTGAAGCTCGGACGGTTGGTTGAGCGGCTTCAGTTCCAAATTGGATCTGGACATCAGCATAAGTGGCTGGACTGCCCCACCGGTCATCAGAGCGGGACTTGACCTTTCAGCACCCGCGAGAGGGCCGGACCCACGTGCTTATTGATCACCTCTTCAATGTTCTTTGCCAGACGCCTTTCGACATTTGGCCGCTGTTTCTGCCATTCCTCACGAACTTTCTTGTTGACAAAGTCCCTCGCTATATTCCCCAGTAAACCGTACACGAACCCGGCAAGGCCCTTGAACCGCGGTTTGACGCTGATTCTGTCCATTCGGATGCTGAGTTTCGTGTCGGATGGGACGATGGTCAGCTGCCCGGCGGTGACTGAGGCTCGCCAAGTGGTCGACAGAGTGGCGCTGGCGGCCACCAGCACAATCTCCGGCCGAGCCTCCACGGTCAGGCACGGGTAGAACACAAACACCCTCCTGCACACTCTGGCCTTGGCGTTCATCTTAGCGCCGACGCGCGGCCAGAACACGCTCAGCAGGATGAGCAGTTTGTTGCCGCTGGTCGGCCGGACCTCGGCCCGCCGTACCTGGATGCCCGAGGCGCCCTCCACGCGGATGTTGGTGAGCCACCAGTGGTGGTCGGCGCCGCTGCCCGACTGGTCCGGGAGCCGCAATGGGTCAAACCGGGCGGCCAGCCGCGGCCTGAAGCGGTCCAGCGCTTCCTGCACACAGGCGCGCAGCTGGTCCGGACGGTCCAGACGGCAGTCGGTGCCGCGGTCCGAGCCGGTCACCACCAGCAGCGTCATCATCATCAGCAGCAGCAGCAGTGGCGGCGAGCACAACATGGTCGGACAGAGAGGTGGCACTCGTCCCTCTGACAGCCGCCCGACCCCGACTACGACTGGTGCAACACCACAGCGCGGGCTGCACCCACGCCACCCTGAGGTGCCCCCGGCTGGGCAAACAGACATGACACGATGGGTCAACTCATAGGCTCGGATGATTCAGGTAGGCTGGGGGGGGGAGGGTTGAACACCCCCTACCTGTGGTTTTTCGCGAATATCTCAAAAAAGGCGGCACGGACTACGGAGCGCAGCCGTTTTTAACACACCTTATCATAAAGCAACTCTACACGTACACATGTTGTAAAAATTTCAGACAAAGGTCATTCAAGGTCAGGTCACCGGGTCACTTGAAGTGACCTCACCTCATAAAAAGTTTCAACCTTTGGGGTCAGGTCCGGTCATTTCACTAAAGGTCATTAAAGGTAGGTATTAGCAAGGCCGGTATTAGTAAAAGTTCGCTTATTTCGATAAGTTCGATAAACCGTCGCACAGCTCAAATATGATTAGAGCTGCAGCACCACCAAAATCGTTTAACATAGTTTCCACCCTCCAGACATGAGTCAAATCATTCTCCTCCTTGCCTCAGCCGATCCCTCAACCATCCTCAACCTACCGGTCCCGTTGCTCTGTCGGTTAGAGCGTTGGACTCCGCGTGGTGAGAGCACGCGTTCCCGGTTATGACAGTCCGGGTTCGAAGCGCGACGACGCTCGATGTTTTTGGGCCTGCTGCCAGATACGCGATATGGTTGCGGTTGGTGGCAGGCCGTAGTCAGTCGAAGTCAGTGAGGGGACCGGCCGTGCGCGGCTTTGTGCGTAAGTTAAACTTTGGACTAAATTGTGCCATAGCACCGGAATTGCGCGACCGGAAGGTAGATGATAGGGCCAACGCAACAAGCTCCGCTTAGCGTGGTTCTGTCCTTGTGAACTTAAAAGTTTCGGACCAATTTTTTTAACACCTGTCCCCAGTTCCGGGCTAGACGCCGGCAGCTTTATCCCATGCAGGTAGTTCCCATAGGTGCAAAACCGTAGCCGAATGCAGTGAGTTGTTAAAGGGCTGGGTGGCCTGTCCAGTGTCACAATGGGCTCGGCCCAGACG